CTGTCCAATTATTTTCTTCTTCTTTACATTACTATTTAATGCATTATTGCTAATGAGTATAATGACGAGGTAAAATATTCCAGCTTGTCATCAGACACTAATAATTTTTAGTTACTTGTAAAACAAATATTTTATTTATTAATTTAGGTTTTATTACATTTTGTCAATATTTAAATAAAATCTATATATTAATTTACATTTTATTGCACCTTTATTGCGTAACGAGTTTCTGATACGGTATATTTCACGACACATGGACAAAGAAATTATTCAAACGGTTTTGGCTATTAAATAATTCAAAAACCTGATTTTAAAAAGAAAGCAAATCTATGAGATTGTATAGAAATATAGAGCTTTTATTTATAAAGTTTCCAAAAAGAAATGTTTACCAGAAAACCCGATTTGCGAATTTTACGTTTTCTCGATGATTAATGTCATTCTGAATCGTGTATAAGTGAGTGTGAAGCTCGATAAGGACTTGCATTCATTAGTTTTCGTATAACTTTCATTCATTAGTTTTCGTAAAACATTCGTATTTCTTTCGTTATTATTTCTTTGTCTTGTAGTCCTTGTAGCAATTATTTCTATCATATATCACGCATTCATTGTTATGACAGTATTAATTTTTAGCAAGAAAAATAGATGTATAGTTTCAACATTTTACCAAATTTTAAATGTTCAAAAAAATTAAAAATTCAATTCATATTTCTAAAAATAATTTAAACAATTTAAAACCCCCCTTCTAAACGAAATACATTGCGCTTCGAAATGTACGATTATAATGGTACATTAAAAGTGCAAATTTTTTGAAATCTGATCAATATAACAATAAATAATAATTCACACAGAAGACAAGTGAAACTTTCGATCCAATTCAATACAATCCAATTGAATTAGTTAAATACTAAAATCATTACATTTTAATAAATACTTTATAGATAATTGTTCCCAGAATCTGATGTCAGATTTTTTACTATTTACATTTTGACTTATATAAAATATTTTAAGCATTAGACAAAATTTGAAATAATAGAAATTTAATAATTTTGAAAGAATAAAATATTTAATATCATTAATAAGTGAAATGAAATAAAAACTAAAATCTATAATTTATTCTTTCAAATCGGCCAATACCAAACTACTTAATTTGTGATAGTTGTGATTCAAAACGTTTTAATTACTATTATTGTCATAAAATAGACTAGTTTCAATTCAAAAACCAATGTTTTTTTTTTAAATTCGCAAAACCCATTAATTCTTTGTTGATCCCGAAACCATAAAAATGTGTTTATGGTCGCTCAAATGAAGACACCAGGAGTATATTTCGTAAATATTTTAATGATACATGCAAAAAATCTGGCCAAAAAACGTTGTTTGAAAACAATGAATTTTCCATAACGACATAGTCAGCAGGGTCGCATGATTAGAAGAACAGGTAGTGAGACGATGCAGCGATCTTTATTGGACCGCAACTTTCGTATAGCAGTAAGATGATACAAGAGCGGATAAAACTCTTAAACTAGCTACGGGCTTTCTCATATATATATATATATATATATATATATATATATATATATATATATATTAGGGGGACCGGAAAGTAATGTCGTTTTCTTACGCTAAACTACAAACACATACATTTTTAACGAGTCTTTATTTTTAATCAATGATGTATTCCCCATCATTGTCAATAACCTTTTGCCATCCAGTGAGTAAATTTTCAATCCCTGATCGATAAAAATTAATTGGTTTTTCGGCAAAATATCTAGAGATGGCATTTTGGATATCATCCAAATTTGTAAATGTTTTGCCACTTAAAAAGTGTTGCAGCCCTCGGAACAAGTGGAAATCCGATGGTGCAACATCGGGCGAATATGGTGGATGAGGCAAAACGCTTCTGTGTTGTGTCGTTGAAGCAATAAGTTGCATGTGATTGATCGGTTAGCCTTATTCTGTTCGGACAGATTATGCGGGACCCAAACACCTGCTCTGCTTACTTTCCCAGTCTGCTTCAAATGTTCTTGGATGGTCGACCAAGGTTGGTTGAGACTGTTTGACAATTCCTCGATCGTCTGACACGGATTTGCTTCCACTTCCGCCCTTAACACGTCGTTGTCTAACGCTGATGGTCTTCCTGATCGATATGAGTCGGAAAGATCAAAATTACCCGATTTGAACTTGGAAAACCACCTTTGGCATTTATGAATTTTGTGCATTTGGATAAACATCGCAAATGTTTTTGGTAGCAACTGTTGCGTTATTTCCCTTGCGAAACTCAAAAAGCATGCAATGCCGGATGTGTACCTCTTCTGGTATTTGGCTGCCATTTTACCCAAAATTACAAAAAAAAAATTGTAATTCAAATGTCTATAAGTAAAGAAATCACTATGTCTCACAATGTCTTTGGTACGCCTCTGAACCAAACCATGAGCTGACAAATGACAATCAAGTATTGGCATGCGCAGAAACGACATTACTTTCCGGTCCCCCTATATATATATATATATATATATATATATATATATATATAGATATTTACAAAAACCATGACAAAACCACCTTCAAAATAAACTTGTGAAGGCGAAATACACGTTTGAAAAAATTACTGCAACACAACTGTAACAATGACGCACATCTGAAAGGATATATCTGTCATCCTATCGAATAAAGAGTTAAGTCAATTTTCTCTATTTTGCAAAGCATGATTTCAAAGTTCTATTCTAAGAGAAATAGTTCAAGACATTTTTGCCGAAATTCGACTTAACCACTTATTCCCTTGGATGACATTTGCATCCTATCAGATGATGTGCGTCATTGTCACAGTTTTGTCGCAGTAATTAATTCAAACGTGTATTTCGCCTTCACAAGTTTATTTTGAAGGTGGTTTTGTCATGTTTTTTGGAACTTACTTATTGTTATTTGTAATTATTTCTACTACATTTAATGAAGTTAAGCTAGTACTAGTGACTACTATGAATTTTATTGCAGTTGTCAGATGTTTGGTGCAATTTTAATTATTTATTCATTTTTGTTCATTTTCGGACAAAATGACATAGGGGAAGTACGGACAAAATGACACGGTGTTTTGTTTTTGAATGATATTTTTTTATTTAATGATAATATACCCAATCTCAATAATAATAATAATATACAATATATATAATAATAATATACAATATATATATAATAATAATATACAATCTCAATAATGATAATATACCCAGTCTTAATCGTTTTTTCTCATCTTTGGTTCATTGACTGCCAGTAATAAATGTGATAACATAAGTAGTATAAGTAGATAGTATTTTAATTCGGTATTCTTACTACAATAACATATTTATTAAAGAAAAAATGCATCCTACTATAAAATAACATTTTTTTCATATAGTACAGACAAAATGACATATAGAGTTAGGACATACTCAGATGCTAACTTTTAAGAAAGCAGTTCACAAACAATGCGTTTCGTCCTCTTTGAGACATTAGCACATGAGCATGAACCCAAATGGTACAAGTCATACATCGTAAGCAATCTTTGCCGGGCTGAGAAGGCTTCTTTTACCGGCGAATATTTTTGGTTTGATTTTAGCAAATAATTTTTGCATACTTGTAGTAGAAGGTAAAAGCCAATCGTCTTTGACCAGTTTTTTTGGCCCTGTAATGCTTGCAAAACAGTACTATGTCATTTAGTCCATTATATAAGTATGTCAATTTGTCCGAAATTGAACAAAAATGAATAATTAATCAAAATTCCAACAAAATTGATCGAAATCTTTAACACTGTCATAAGTTATTTGATTTTAATTGGATTAATTACGAATAGCAAAAAATAAACTTTTCAAGCCGCAAAACATTTTTTAACGAGTGTGACAATGACGCTGAACATCTGACTGGATTATTATAATAGCTTTCTTTATGTTAACGATCCAAAGAAATGTTAATAAAACTAGCCTATTTTTAAATAATGCCACTGCGTCATTTGCTCCATATATACCATTTTGTCCGTATTTTACTTACTTATACAATGGATAAATTAACATATAAAGTACGATTTTGTAAGCACTTCATAGTAGTTCGAGGCCAAGAAAAATGAAAATTAAAAACTGTAGAAGGTGATTGGCTTTTAACTCTTACTCTAACTACTACTTAAAACAGACCAAAGGATACACCTATTGAAAGAAGAGACTTGCATTAATTGCAAAGACCTCTTTTCACCCTCTGAGCCCAGCGATGGCTGGTTACGATGTATAATTTGTTTTCTCGGGGCTCATACTTTATGTGCAAAGTGTACCAAATGATTTATTTGTGATGCCTTCTTAAGAATTATATTCTCAGTATGTCCTTACCTTGTATGATATTTTGTTCGTACTATATAAACAAAATGGATATTGTAGTTAGTTAAATATGCAGTTGTAGTTCTCACTTAATTAAATGACTATGTTACTGGTAGTCTATGAATTTGGGATAGATGAGTAAAAAAATGAGACCGATTATAATACCATTAAATAAATATCGATAAATAACAAAACACCATGTCATTTTGTCCCTACTTCCCCGTTATTTTCAAGTCAGTTTCAATAGTTTTTTTATATAACCTCTAGAATAGCTTACATCTGATTGAGGTAAAAAAGGTCAACTGAACCTTTACACTGGTAAGATGTAAACAATAAGAACATAGTAAATAAAGAAGCTAAATGAAATACAAAATAGCAATTTTATAAGAGATAAATTAAATAAGTACATTTTTTTTATTATTTTGGATATTATTTACATCTGTCCAATGGACATTAGGTAAATTTTATGAATAACAAAATAACAAAGAAGCTGTCTGCAAAATAAACTATTGAATGCTTGAGAGAGTGCACAGTTGCAATCTCTCCTAATTTAAGAAAAGATTATGATCTAGATTGACTTGGAATGCCAGTTAGGTCCAAAGGCGATTTCCTTTTTAATCTTTTGGTGTAGTTTGCTGAGATGAGTGCTTTGGCGAGCCCGTTAGGATGGCTTTCCAGTCGGTGACTGTGTTTGATGGCGTATCTTGCAATTTCTTCTTCTACCGTATGTAGGCCCGTGTCCTGGTGGAGCAGCCATACCGGTACATATTTTGGGGCGTTCAGGATGATCCTTAGTATCTTATTTTGAAACTTTTGAATAATTTTTGTGTTGCTCTTAAATACTGTCCCCCAGAGTGCAATTCCGTAAGTCCATATGGGTTTTAGGATAACTTTATAGATCAATAGTTTGTTGTATGTCGATTAAATAAGTACATATTTTAACTCTGATGAAAAATTCTTCTAACGAAATTCCATACGAAGGTTAATAATTGTATTTCCAGATTCCAATTAAATAGAACTATAATGAATGAAACAGAAATACCTGCGGAAGTACAACTTATGATAGTAGTAAAAGTTATTAGTTTTTATCAATATATATTAAATTATACTTTTTAATTTTGTCGTAAAAATTAAACCTAAAAGTTAAACTGTATAGACCTGTGTAAATAACGTAGATATTATTCCGCAAAACCTCCTTAAAATTAAAAATATAATAATAAATCTTTGTAATGGAATGAATAGATTTGTGTCCCCGCCTATGGGGTAAATAGTGACAGATGACAATTTTTTCTATTACTATAAATTACCAAGCTTGTATAATAATATCCGAGATATCACAATATCAATTACTGTTAAATGAATGGCATTATTCTAAAACGTTTTTGCCCACGCATTTCTATATAATACAAAGATCTATCATACAATTATGATAGGAAACTTTTAAAATTAGTTGCATATTATTTTTTTCACAAACGAATTATGAAGTATTTTGATAACAATTTATTGTTATTTCAACTAATTATTTTATATTTAATTTATATTTTTTAAAATATTTCTGAAATTCATACTATTCTTTTTGAACAAAAAGTGCAAAAGAATAAAATTTAATTGCAACAGTTTTGATAAATTTTAAACTGTTACAGTTTTTTGCTGAAAATTTGAAATATTCACTTGTTCGGAACTTGCTAACAATAAAAAAATATTCCAATTTCTTAGGATCCTAATTTCTAGAAATCTTATAATTTTTTATATTAATTAAAATCATTAAAATCAAGATTTATGTTTACATAATAAGTCTTATTTGTATGCTTTTTGCGAATCTTACGGAAACCTAGACAACATAATACTAAAATACCGGTTAAAATCATTACAAGTTTTGATAAATGTTCCATAAATAAAGCCCAAACAATTCCAAAGTCTTATTTTTAATTTTGAAGGGATTTTACGAAACAATAGCTGTATTATTCAACCGATGTAACATATAAATTTCATTTTTATTCATCAGCAGAGTTAGAATGATTATTCATTTGATTTATCTCTTGTAAAATTGCTTTTTTACGTTATAATTTTTTATTGATTTTAATATGGTTTTTTATTCATTATATTTTATTGTTTACACCTTTACCAGGGCAAATGTTCAGTTACTCTTTTTTACCCACCTACGCGATAGCTTTTATAGAGGTTATATAAAAAACTGTTGAATCTAACTTAAAATTAACAATATGTTTTATAACACAATTAATTATCAGTTAATTTCCAACCAGTGGGGCGCGCTCACTCAGGAGGGCGCGTACATCTGTTTCCAGAATACTAAATAACCCTAAACTTATAAAATGAATTTAAAAATAAACAAAAAATAATTAGTTTTTATGCTATTGTTACATAATATTGCATATTAATTTGTAGTCTGATAATCTCAGTTGAGTATTTTTACTTTATAAAATTAAATTGTTGCAAAAATTAAGGAGGGCGCAACTTTTTTTTTTATTAGAGCAGAGGACGCGGTCCAAAAAAGGTTGGAAACCACTAATTATTACCACTAATTTTTATTGATGGTGGACCTTTCCACCCGCGGACTTTTAAGCCCTGGTCTATTCTAATCTAAATCGGTCAATCTATTCTTACAAATGTATGGCAAAATAATTATATCTTAATTACTCAAAATCATCAGGTTTTATTATCAAGCACATCAAAACGTTTAACTTTATTTTTTTATATATTTCAATAGCTTACCCTACAAAAAATTACAGATTTATAATATGACTGGAAACAAAACTAGTGGTGTATGGAATCGTGCCTTAAGGCAAATTGCTCGAATTTCTCGTACCTCAATGAAATATTCGAGAAATAATAAATGCATTCAAAAAGATTATTATAATTATTTGAAGTGTTATAAGTGATGTTTAAAATTTAAGCTAGAATTAGAATTAAAATACGAATAATTTTTCTACATTCAATTTTTTTTTTTAAATTATAAAAAAATCTTTCCCCAATTGCAATCGTTTCGTCAACACAAGTAGAAAGTTTTATAAATTATTTAAATCGGATGCTTAGTTTTTTGCACATTTAGAGTATCTCCGAAACGGCTGGACCTGCTTTGCCAAAAATTAAATACCACTTCTCCCCATCATTACGAATCCAATGCTTTTTGGATCATTCAAATCGGTTGATCCGTTCTTATAAATACTAACAATTTTAGCATTTTTTGCTCCATATCTCCAAAGCCGCTGGACCTGCTTTTGCCAAAAACTAATCCGCACATTTCCCTATCAAGAGGAATCGATTGTTCTTTGAATTTGTCAAATCGGTTCATCCACACGCCCGAAATCGTCAACGAAAAATTGTCTCCACACATACACACACACACACACACATACACACATACATCCATTTTTTCTGAGGTATGCTAAAATGTTCAGAAACCTCTGAAAAGTGAAGATATGCAAAAATTTCATTCTCGATTTTTGGTCCATTACTAAGTTAATAAAATACAAAAAATACATCTATTAATTTTAAAAAGTTTTTAAATTATTTGTTACAATTGCTTTACACTTTGAGAAACTGAAAACAACTATTTGAATCAAATCCGTTGTATACCTTTCAAGGTACTGTTCGTAAATTTCCTGCGTCCTAATAATTCCGTGAATGACACCAGTGACGCAAATCCATAAAATAATTTAAAAAATATTTCGTTGAATGAAGTTGTTTGTGTAATTCGCAACTGCTTCTTTGCGTCTTTTTTCACGATTCGCTCTATCCCCCGTTACGGTGTATAAAAGTGACAGTTGTTTAAAAAATAACAACACTGTGTTGTGAACATCCAGCTCGTTAACTTGCTAATTTCATTCGATCGATAATCAAATTTAAAATCAATTAATTATTAGTGACGTAGTGACATATATTTGTTCGAATATACCTCAGACATGTTTGGAATTCTTTCGGTCGGCCTTGCCTTCATGTGCGCGGTTCAGGGTGCACAGCTTCGTAAGTTCTAATTTTTTTTTTTGTGGAATAAAATTGTGTGTATGATCGTTTTCTAATTTTGAACTAATATACGAATTTGAAAATCGTTTTCCTTATGTAAATTACGATATATACATACTGAGTGTTGATTTTCAGCCAATCGTCGAAATAAAAGAAAACAAATAAATAATAAAATATTTATTTATACTTTTTTTGCAATTTTTGTTAATACATTATCTAAAAAAATTTTTACAAAGTTTAAAAAAATTAATTTTAAAGTTAAAATATATTATAGATTAAAAGATAAAATTAAAGTAAAAAATTGATACAGACCACACCAGGAAAAACAATAATAATTTTTTTTTGTTAATAAACATATAGAAAATAAACAATATAAAGTAAACATTTTTTCGGTTTTAAATTTAAACTGAAGATTTGTGTAATGGAAGTCTTGAGCAAAGAACCGAACACATCCGATGAAATAAAATATGATGAAATATATATATATGAAATAATTTTTCAGATGGTGATAAAAGTGTTGATGAAACAACATACTTCTTAACAGGCATCCATCCAGATAATAAAATAGAAATAAAACAAACAATGTTTTCTTAAAATAAATTTAATCGATCTATACTTTTCGAGTTCAATTTGACTCTTTCTTAGTTGAAACAAATTTACAAAAAATGACAAAGAAATATATGTAAATTTAATTTAATTAAAATTAAAATTAAAATATAAAATATAAAACTAAAATTAATATTAAAATATAAAAATATTAAATTAAAATTAAAATTAAAAATTGAAATTAAAATTAAAACTAAAATTAAAATTAAAATTAAAATTAAAATTAAAATTAAAATTAAAATATAGTTACATATTTTTTATTGTCATTTTTCGTAGTTTTGTTTTCACCGAGGAAGAGTCAAATGGGGACGCGAAACGTATGGATCGATTAAATTTTTTTTTTTTTAATTTTTTAGTTTTATTTTTATTTTATTATCTGGATGAATGCCTGTCTAGAAATATTTTGTTTAATCAACACACACATACACACACACACACACACACACACACACACATATATATATATATATATATATATATATATATATATATATATATATATATATATATATATTAAATGCAAGTTATTATTAAAATTGGTTCAAATTACAATATTATTTAAAATATTTTTTTTAGATAAAAAAGTAAATAATAAAACAAGAAAATAAATAAAACAGTGATTAATTATTCTACATTTATTATTTATATGGTTCATATTTACCTACTTCATCTACTTATTATAATTTTATTTACCTTTATACTATATTATACGAAGTATGTTTTGTTTTTTGTTTAAATTGAGTAATTCTAAACAAATCCGTATCACCGCTTCTTCAAATAAAAGTATTTCCCAATCTGATTCACGGTGTTATTTTATAGACTAAAAGTTGAAGTTTAATTTTTTGAATGTCAAGAGTGAAATTTTGCCTTAAGGTAAATTGCATGCACTTTCCGAAGTCCAAAAATAATAGATTTACAAAAATTGTAAATTAAAAAGTTAATAATTATAACAGGAATTGTTTACAAAAAGAAAATTGCATTTTTTTAGTTAAATGGTAGTGGGTAATACAATTTTAAGAATTGTCGTATTTTTTAAAATATATTTTCAAAAATTCAAAAAAGCTGATATTTGCAAACAGTCGATTCAAGCGGCATTACTCCCAATTAATTTGATATATTTCAATCTAAAATAAA